ATTTTAACATATATATTTTATTTTCACATATAATACCTACCAATGACGACATATATTGCTCTTTATTTGCAAAAATATGTTGAAAAGCGATCAATCCACTGCCAAGCACTTATTCGCAAACTTTCGACAGGATAGGTTACAAATTTTTCCGTTTCTTTTCCGTTCCGTAACAGCTCCGTGCCATGGGGAACCCACTCACTATATCACGGAACGGAATTAAAACGAAACTACTCTGATTGGTTAACCCCCACCATGTCTCTTTTCCGTTACTGTTCCGTTCCGCTATTCCTTCTCTATAGGGATGCACCCATTACAGACGAGTTCGGGGATTCTGTGTTGCTGCGATAATTTAGAGGTTAGGTGATAAAATCGGAAGCAGGCACGAAGAAACCAGAGTCGGAGCATCACGTAAGCATGTCGATAAAGAAGAGAGTGACAGGAGGAAAGAGGTGCTGAAGAGATAAAAAGCAAGAAAAGGATTTAGATGGACGAGAAGAGAGAGGAGGGCAAGAAAAAAGATATTAACTTGAAGAAAGACGAGAAGGAGAGCAGGACGATAGAAAAAGGTAGAATTACAGGAGGCAGATCCACGAGGGCGGAGGAGCTGTCAAGAATAAGAGATAGGACAGGAAGCCAAGGATCAATTATAATACGTAAGGAAAAGAGGAAGGGAGGAAGAAAAAGAAATAGCAGAAAAAGCTGAAAAAGAAATACTGGCAAATTTTAGTAAAGAAAAGAGTGATAAGATTGCCGCCAAACAAGATAAAAAAAGAGGAAAAGAAAGAAGAAGGCACGGAGGCGGAAAAAATGCTGAAAGAGATTTTAGCGAAAATGGATGAACAAGAGAGAGAGAAAGAAAGAAGGATAAAGAAGAGATAATGAAAGAGATACACGACCTGAGGGAGGATTATAGAATGATAGAAATGCTTTGGGAAGAGCAAAAAGCGAGTTTAGAAAATAGAATAAAACAGTTAGAGGAGAAAGTAGAAAAAATGGAGAATAGCGGAGGGGAAAAGCTAGAGAGCAGGGAACTAATGAAGAAGATGAAGAAGATGGAAAGAAACTCTGAATTAGCCGAAAGGAGAAGAAGGAAAAATAATATAATTATAAAAGGAATGAAAGTAGAAAATGGAGGTAAAAGAAAAGAGAAGATGGAGAAATTCCTTGAAGAAAAAATCACCAAAAAGAAGGTGAAAGTGGACGAAGTACAGGTAATAATTGGCCGGGGAGAATACAATGACGCTAGTCAGATTCAATAGATGGGAGGATAAAAAAGAAATAATGGCAAAGAGGAAGGAGATAGGAAAAGCAAGAATATTTATGGATGACAACCTGACGGCAACAGAGAGGCAGATATAAATAAAGCATCTATGGAGTATAGTTAAAGCAGAGAGAGAAAAGGGGAAGAAAGCAACGGTAGGATATCAAAGAATATGGATTGACAATTGCGAATGGAAATGGAATGAAAGCACCGAAATGCTAGAAAACAGAGATGTTTTTCCGAAAGAATAGAGAAGAGAGAGGACAGGGAGAGGATGGGTGCTAGTGGGAGGTGATTTCAACGCGAGGACGGGAAGCAGAGAAGGACCGATAAATGAGGAGGAAGAAAAAGAAAAGAGAAGCGAGACCAGAAAGTCAGTAGATAAAGTGGTAAATAGGGAGGGACGTATATTAATAGATAAAATAGAAGAAAGAGAATGGACAATATTAAATGGGAGTTTCGGAAGGGAAGGAGCATGGACTTATATAGGAGACTTGGGATCATTGGTTATAAACTATGTCTTTGAGAATGACAGAGCAGGAGACAACATAAATATGGTGGAAGAAGGAATTAAAACGGAATCGGACCATGTTTCGCTGGAAGTGGAGTTGACAGGATCTCGGGTGGAACGGGGAGAAGGAAGAAAGAAATGGAATTAGAGAGAAGCGACTGGACAGAAGATGGGAGGAGAAAATATTATGAGAAATGCGAAGGATGGTCGAGTACACAAATAAATACAGGATATCTGGAAGGAGATGAAAGAAAAAGTAAAGAGCGCTATCACGAAGCAGAAGAAAAGGATAATACCATGGAGATTAGGAAGAAAAGAATGGTATAATAAAGAATGGAAGGAAAGGAAAAGAAGATTAAGGAGATTGATGAGGGACTGGAAGAAGGGAAAAATCGGAAAAGAAGAGTATGTGAGGGAAAGAAAGGAGCACAAGGAATGGTGTAATGGTGTAAGGAGCAGAAGGGGAGGCACGAAAGCGAGGAAGAAGAAAAGATAAGGAATATTAAAAACAAAGCGGAAGCTTGGAAGTATATAAATAAGTACAGGAAAAAGATATTTAATTCATTTTTATTTAAAAATGCTTTCAGAAGCACACGTTTTTCAAACATACTGTCTGATAATCGATGATATTTGGCTGTATTAATCATCGTAGCAAATGAAAATAATCTCTCCACCGGAGCCAAAGAAGGAATAAATGTATTGTATTTTATAAAAACTTTCTTTATTGTAGGATATTTTTTTAGATAAGATATCTGAGAGTCTGGATCTCCTAGATAATGAAAGATCTAACGAAAATAAGGATCATAAAGCAAATATTTTCGTTTTCGTTTTTAGATCTTTCATTATCTAGGAGATCCAGACTCTCAGATATCTTCCCGGGAAAAAATGGAAGAGATCTGAACAGATTTGAGCAGATCTCATCAGATCCAATTCACTCAGATCTGGTTTGATCAAAATATTGGCCCTATCTGATCAGATCCAATCAGACATCAGTAGATCTGATCCGATCCAGTGTCCATCCACTGCAGAAAATTGTTGTTTCTAAATGTTATTTTTTAAATGTGCTACTTTATTATAAAGTGGACACCACGATACAAAAGTTGTGCCGTTCCACGATTTACATAACTTGGCGCAACTTAGCACGAGACCGTGTCTGATACCGTTCTTATGCCGCCACTGTCATCAAATTTTAAATATGAGAATCAGATTCCGTCGGATGCCATCTATCGGATACTTTGAGATGCAACATTATGATCTGATCATATATAATCTTGTATGACTATATAAGTTTATATGTGATTATATTATTTTATCAGTTTAAATTATAAGGTATGTTTGCAAAATAATTTAAAAGATTTATGTTTTATATATACATATACACATTAATCTTTTATATTTACCTATTATTAATTACTTTGCACGGTACTTTTTTAATAAAATATTTATAATAAATTCTAAATATGGTGTCGAAATTAACAATTATTATCAAATTGGCAGAGACTATATTTATTATATATGTTAATGTTTCAAAATTAAGAAAACTGTTTTTAATATAAAAATTAATTGATTTTTTGATCAAAAATTATTTAAAAAAGCTTCCCCTTTACAGAGTTAATATTATATTTGATATAATGTCCAACATTGGGTGTAAAAATTAATAATAGACGATTTAGGAACGAAATTTTTATAAGTTCTATACTGGCGAGATCTGCTCAGATCCGGCAAGATCGGAAGAGACCTGATTGGGTCAGCAACACAACTTTGTAAGCCAAAATTGGATTTATCTGGTGAGATCAAAATATGTCTGACTAGGTCTGCTCAGATCCAGCAAGATCGAAAGAGATCTGATTGGATCAGCAACACAACTTTGTAAGCCAAGATTGGTTTTATTTGGTGAGATCAAGATATGTCTAGCTAGGTCTGCTCAGATCCAGCAAGATCGAAAGAAATCTGATTGGATCAGCAACACAACTTTGTAAGCCAAGATTGGACTTATCTGGTGAGATCAAGATATGTCTGACTATATAGGTCTGCTCAGATCCGGCAAGATCGGAAGAGATCTGATTGGATCAGCAACACAACTTTGTAAGCCAAGATTGGTCTTATCAAGCCTCGACAAGATCTGAGGCATAATGTCTGCTCGTACTTCAGGAGATCTGAAGCAATCAGATAATGTCCGATTAGATCGGAAGAGATCCGATTGGATCTACGATTCAATATCGAACGGCAGCAATGGTCAGATCTGATGAGATCGGATTATAGTTCAGCATATCTGGCTGCATGTGATTAGATATGGTCATGCAGATCTGGCGAGATAAAATTGTATCCAATCAGATCTGACTTTACTTGAATTTCAGATCTCGTTGTATCTCATTTTATCAAATCAGACATGGTTAGATCTCCTCCATTTTTTCCCAGGTTATCTAGAAAAATATCCTACAATAAAGAAAGTTTTTATAAAATACGATACATTCATTTCTTCTTCGGCTCCGGTGGAGAGATTATTTTCATTTGCTACGATGATTAATACAGCCAAATATTATCGATTATCAGACAGTATGTTTGAAAAACGTGTGCTTCTGAAAACATTTTTAAATAAAAATGTATTAAATAAAAAATAAACTTTGATAATAATTACTTTTAAGTGATTTTTTTTAAACCAACTAAAAGAAAAACATTCTGAAATCTACACTTTTGGGAAACTAAAGTTGATTATGTACTTTTTTCATTAAATTTTTCTTTTTCTATTTATAAATAAGATTAGTTTTTATGTTGTTTTTTATTTTATTAATTAAAACTAATGACACCGGTTTTTATTAAATTAAATTTTTATTTTATTGATTGTAAATTTATTTAATTTCTTTGTTTTAATTTATTTAATGTTAAAAATACTAATTAATAGATTAATTAATAAATTATATTACAACTTTACATTCACGAGTGAGGACTTTAATTTTTACTCTGTGCATCATTTTTTGTTATCGATTTTTTGTATTCGTTACATTCTTCGAATAAAAATGATAAATTACGAATAAATTATTCGTGATTATTTTATTCGAATAAAGAATAATCGAATTATTTGTTATTCACAAATAACGAATACATTTATTTTATTCGTTATTTTTTATTCGTTATTCAGAATAAATTTTGCCCAACACTGGCCCGAACCTATTCAATTTATACATCATGGATTTAGAGGAAGGAATGGCAAATGAAAAAGGGCAAGCGGAGGCCTTGTGATAGAAAAAGAAAAATTATGGACAATGTCATACGCAGATGACGTAGTGTTAATGGCGGAATTGAAGGAAATGATGAGGAGGTTCAAGAGGTATTTGGAAGAGAAATCAAAGATAATGGTGTTCGAGAAAGCGAGGGGAAGAAGGAAGAAAAGAGAATGGAAGTGGGGAGAAGAAGAAATAGAGGAGGTCAAAGAAATAAAGTATCTGGGATATATACTACAGAAAAATGGAGGAGCGGAGAATCATATAAAAGATAGGATGAAGAAGGCTACAATAGCGATAAAGAGGACATGGAGCATAGGAGAGAGAATATTCAAAGAAGATTTTATAGAAGAAGAATGAAAATGTTCGAGGCACTGGTAGAAATCGTGGCATTATACGGAGCTGAAATATGGGGGTGGCTATACGAAACCAGATTAGGTGTAATAGAAAGAAAGTATGTTAAATGGATTTTTTAGGATTAAATAGAAGAACCCCGAATTATATAATATCAGAAGAAGCCAAAATAAAGGAGATAAAAATGAGGGCAATAAGGAGAGCTGTGGGGTATGAGGAGAAGGCGAGACAGTTAGAGAAGAAAATAGTTCAAGCACGTATAAAGGATCTAGAGAGAAGCAGACCAAAGAAAGAAGAAAGTAATTGGGAAAAGAAGAGAAGAGAACTGATAAAGAGAGCAGGAATGGAGAAGGAGCAGCTAAGGAGAGAAATGGAGGCAGGGGACTAGGAGGCGGCGGAGAATCTCGTAAAGAGAATAGAGGAAAAGGAGAAGGAGAAGAGACAGATAAAGATAAACGAGACTCAAGATACAATAATAACTATATAAAGAGATTTTAACAGAGGAGTTACCAAAGTATTTACTAGGAAAGAAGAAGAAAAAGGATAGAATGTTGATAGCCAGATACAGATGCGGGAGTGAGGTAAAAGGCAGCGAACATTGAAGAGAGGAAGAGAATAGAAGATGCAGAATATGCCAAAAAGAAGAAGAGAACATAGAACATATACTAAAAGAATGTGAAGCGACAAAAAGCGAGATACAGTTAAAAGAATTTTTAGGAAATGAAGGAAAAGGACTAGAAGTAATGAAATGGATAGGTTAGAAAAGAAGCGGAGAAAAGGGAGGGGATGGAGGGAGAAGAGTAGGAAGGAAAATTTAAGGACAGTTAGAATGTTGAATTAGTTTTGGAGTTAGTTAGAATGATCTAAGTGATATATAATATATATGTATGTAAATGAGAAAGTTGTATGTGTGTAAATTATGTTATGCGTTTGTATATTTATGTAAGGGTTGACTGAAGTCATTCTAAGCCGCAAGGCAAGGATTAAATAAATTATTATTACATGGATTCTTGAATTTATTCGCAAAAGAAACGGATGCGCAAATTATACTCTTACAGAAAAGTTATAAGTTGATTGGCTATCGCATGGCTTTTAGTCAATCAACTTGCAACTTTTCTATAAGAGCAGAATTTCTGCAAATTCTGCAATTTTTCTTGCAAATAAATTTAAAAATCCAACCCCAAGTGCGCGCGCGCGCTGCGCCGCGCCTTAAAAACCTTATTAAGAACATATATAAGGTCTTATTTGAATTGAATTAAATTTAAATTAAGATTCAAAACTTATTAATTTTATATATAATTTCAATTAGATTGAAATTATAATTTCAATTAGATTAAAATATATAATTTCAATTAGATTAAAATTAAATTAAATATATTAATTAATTAAATTCTTATTAAGTCAAATTAAATACGAATATTTTAATGATGAAATAATACTATAAAAAGTACGTATATATACTTTGCATACTACAAAACATATGTACGAGTATACACATCGATTAAGAATATACAACATATATGTATACATATGTTCGAAATTTTTAATCGACATGTATATTGGCATTTCTTCTTATATTCTTAATTAGTTTTATATATGGAATAAATATGAGCCATAATAATGCAGTTATTCAGTATTAATTTAAATCAAATAAAATTCAAATAAAAATTGTATTAAGGTCTATATATTAAGGGGATCAATTACCGACATTTAGTTAAAAGCATACAACTTTTAATTGGCATTACGGAATTGCAAAATTCTTCAGAATTAAAGTACGCACAAAAATGTAGAGGGCTAGGGTCGGTTTTACATCAAAAACAAAAAAAAATTAAAAATTTGGGCACATAGAGCTGTCACTGACGACAATATTTGCTTATACAAAAATACTGGGTAATTATTTACAAAAAAACCGCACTCGCCAATGACCTTGACCTTGACATATGTTGTCAAGGTCACCTTCCTGAGTGACCTTCAGAAGTTTTTAGCCGGCGGTCGTTATTCGTTAAAAAGTTATTAACAAAAAAAGTTTGGAAAATATAGCAGCTATTTTGAGTATTGGAAGGCATAAAGAACGGTAATTATGCAGTAATAGGGACCACCCTCCGATAACCTTGACCTTGACATGTGTTGTCACCCTCCTGAGTGACCTTTGGAAGGACGCGCTTTAAAAGTATTTAAGTGTTTAAAGCGCGTCAACTAACCTATGTAGGTTAGTGACGCGCTTTAAACACATAGGTTAGTTGACGCGCTTTAAACACTTAAATACTTTTAAAGCGCGTCACTAACCTACCTAGGTTAGTTGACGCGCTTTAAACACTTAAATAT